TCTTATCATTGTGTATAACTATTCTTCTTAACCATTATCTTTAACTATTATTCATTACCATTGTCTATAAAATTCCCTCTTTAGCTATCTATAGAACTAATTTCCTTCACCATTATCTGTAACTATTTGCCTTCACTATTATCTATAACTACTCTTCGTCACCATTATCTATAACTACTCTTCTTAACTATTATCTATGACTATTTTCCTTCACCATCATCTATAACTATTCTTCGTCACCATTATCTATAACTATTCTCCTTAACTGTTATCTATAACTATTCTTTTTAACCACCATCTACAAAACCATTCAAAACCAAACATTAGACATTAGTGTGTTACATGTCGAGTGCTAACACATTTTTACGAAGGCCTATCTCGTCATTTGATGGCCAAAAATGTATACTTCAAAACAGCAGCTAATTCCATTACAGCTTTGTAGGACAATACAGTCCAGCGTCTAAAAACAAATTAACAAATTCCAATGCAGCTTTTGTTATAATATGTATCCAGAACGGGTTCCATAGGACATGCTATGCTTGGTTTAAGTCATTAGATATAGGGACTGGCGTAGAAAAAAAAACATTCAAAAAAAATAATGCCTTTAGAAATACTTCAAAAGTATAGATACGTGTAGTTGGCTTACCCTCTGTAAAACTATGACATTCAGTAGACATAATTTCTTTAAAACATATAGTTTCAAACATCCATTAAATATCACCGCANAAATGAAATAAAATTAAATATTTTTATCGTAATATTGCAATGCAACAGAAGTGTTTTTGCTTTGAGAGTTCCATCGATTTTTCGATTTATATCCTTTAATAGGAAACGGAATTGTACAAAGCCTGCATCAAACGGGGATTCATCCGATCGACTAGATGCTCTTTCCATTCAAATCATCGACAGGGGAACATAGTTTTAAAAAAGTTCATAAAGATAACATAACTTGCCTATTGGTAAGCAGTTTTTCCTGGCTTTCCTGACTCGGGATTTGTTTCAAAACCACAATTTAGCATTCAACACCAATCATATCACTGTCATCGAAAAAAAATATGAATTGAAGATTAACGTCATGATAATGAATGAACAACAGGTGGCATGATTCTATTTAGACTGGTTTCGGATATAAAATCCTCATCTACACAGCTGGAAATGAATGAACTTTGCACATATTTAGGTGAAGTAAATGGATTAAATATGATTTAATTGACTTATCTTTTATAAAACTGCATTTGTTCAATACACAGGTTTTCTTCAAAAAGAAAAGTTCACAATGACTTGGCTTACTGTCCTATAAAAAGTGTAATGTTTTATAAGTTTAAGGGGAGAGGTGTTAAGGGAAGGAAGTCTTGTGATCTCTAGTGGTATAAATCAATCATGCATGGTGTACAGTTTTTGTTTGGAATTTTTATAAAAAAAAAATTTCGATCCGTTGTATGTCCTTTTTTCATCTACAAATGTATTTACTTTGATTAAAATATAAACATACATCTTTTTCAGTACATTTTCCAGTCAAGAGAGATTGAATTTATGGGCAGTTGCGTTTTTGTAGAAATTTTGGGAGGAGATGAACCGAATTATCAAAGAGGGCTCACAGCATCAAAACATTTAAAACAATTCGTAAGAGCTTGTCATAGTGAAAATGCAGCAGAAAGTGTCGACCCGAATTCACAATTCACGCTACTTCCTGTTGGCGGCACTTTATTTTGTTACAAAATTCCGATTGAATAAATGAATGAATGANAATAATAGAATGACAACAGCCAGCACGTTCTGGATAAAACAAATGATTAAA